TGCAGAGATTTATTTAGACTATGACAATAGGAATTTTAAATGATCAATTATTATTATTATTATTATTATTATTATTATTATTATTATTATTATTATTATTATTATTATTATTATTATTATTATTATTATTATTATTAATAGTATTAGATATTTTTGCAATTGTAGTAGTAGCAATAACTGCAATAAGAGTGTGGTAGTAGTAATAATAGCAGTACTAGTATAAAACAAATATTTTTGTGTAAGAAACTTATCTTAGGACAGTGCACACTAATCATATTTCGTTAGTTACTTTCCCCAATATATATTATGATTAGTAGTTAATCTTGTCGAGTTTGTGTTCAACTTTTAAACGGCAAAGTAAGGTTTATGCACATGATCTACACAATGTATTTTGTATAACCAATATTCCCGTTGAGTAAATACAAAAAATGTGGTAAAATTTAGTGGGAAGAAGAGGACAGATTGAGAGGGACAAACATGCATCTTGAGCTTTGCCGGTGAAATGAAGGATGAGTTCATGTGTGAGAGTCATAAAATACGAAGCTTAAATACTTCTAGGTGACGATCGAGTTAGGAATAATATTATATATAATTTTTGTTTGTAAGTCGTTGGGAAGGGGGGTGGTGGTAAAAATTCAATGTAGTAGTGACAAAACGAGAATATTGGCTATATAAAAGAATATTGTGTTGAACATATACATATGCTGTTTACACTAACACATATATCTATCTATGTATCTTTTTACCCGGCTAACTGGTGATCTCTTTTATCAAATAGAGTCAAGTTCACACTTTCCCAACTACTTTGAACAAGATTCCCATGCTATGTAGTTGAATGCTTCACATTTTTGACAATTGCTTTAATGTGTCACAATGTTTCACCGCATTTATAATGATCTGAATAAGTTTCCAGCAATCACATACAAATGTAGCTGATTTTATATACATTCCATAAATTCCAAGTAAATATCTTGCAGATTATAACTCAACTGATTAATTTCGCATTAAATATAAGAAGAACAAAAGAAATAATGCATTATTTCTGAACTCAGAGTTCTTAAATTTAAACATAAATTCGACAAAATTTTTAGCTACAACTCCTAAGATAGATTAAGGATATATGAAAACATCAAAAAATGAATAATGTGTTTTGGACTGAAGTGTTTCCTATGTTTTATTTTTTACTACTACTACTACTACTGGGGGCCCCGAGTGGCCGAGTGGTCTAAAGTGTTGTCCGTTAAGGATCACTGCCATCTCACCTTTGTCTGCGTGGGTTCGAGTCTAGGATTCGGCGAATGTGGATATGTGAGAAAGCCTGCCAGTAGCTTCTCGTGGGTCGGTGGTTCTTTCCGGTGATTTCCCGGTTTCTTCCTCCACCATTAATAATGGCCGCCATGAATAGCCTATCGTGTGCTGCAAAATGGCGTTAAGCACAACAACAACAACAACTACTACTACTAATGCCATTACAACAATAACAACAATAACAACAACTACTACTGCTACTACTACTACTACTACTAGTCAAGATCACTTTAGAATCTTATTTTGACAGTCTAATTTGATATAGGCACTGCTAGTTTATATATTGATATGAAGGCAGGCTGTTTAAGAAAAACAAATACATGCAGACGACAAAAAAAATTGAACTTATATAATCAAAGTGGAAGTAGAAGAATTACTTTTCATTAATTGTGTCAAGATTGATCATATGGTGTCGAGTCCCAGCAACAGGCAAACTATATAACTATATAATTTTTATAGTGGAATATACCAACGAAGAGACCCTGATTGTACCCCCTTCCAAATAATAAGGTAGTTCCAAGATGGATAAATAAACTACAAAGATGCATGCTGTGTATCTCCATTGACGTCAAAATCACAGGCTGCTTTTTATATTGCAAATCAGATTTTTTTAACAAAATATATCACTTTTAGTGCCAGAAGGACTGAAATAATTCAAAAACGAAATTTATGCTCTGGTATCGTAATTTAGGGTTCAGATTTAACACATTTTCACTTATAATGCAAACAGTTGATGTAAATGATGAATATTTAAATTTTTAACAAATTTCGGTCTTAGTTATCAACTTTAACGTGTCCCAGAAGATGGTCACAAATGGATTTAAAATTCCAAATCTGAATTTATGAATGTGGCAACATTTAAAGCAAGTCAATTTTGTGTTATGGACATTCCGAGCCTTTCGAAGTCCAAAGCCATTGTAAGGTATTTAAGGGAAGAAATATATAATGTATATGGTGTCCCGACATATCCATTGATTCCTCCATCCATCTGACTATCCCATCTACTGTCGTGTGAATTATACATAATAGCTATAGTTTGCTTCGCATGTCTCGCTCAATCATTGTAACAATTTTAAGAGATTGTTGTGTTGATGTTCCAGCATAGAATCCTGTTCAAACTGGTGTATATTTCTTTTAAGTTCTTTAGTCTGACTATATATATGCAAATATATATGCAACATCAGACAGCTATTTCTTGTAATTGTTACAATGATTGACTGAGACACACAAAACAAAACTATATATAACTAATTTGAGTGTTTCAATTAAATATTATACAGCTTATATACTTATATACTGGAAAATGAGTTTTGTTTTCGAATGGATCCAAATATCCTTGACACATATTTGACACTCTGTACTCTGATACATTTATAAATTCATCTTTTGTATTTTTAAATCCGTTAGTGGCCTACTGCTGGGACCTGTAAAAGACGATATTTAACACCAGTTTTTTTTAAAAAAAAAAAAAAACAAACATTGATACGGTCATTTTATTGCATCAACAATTTGCGTTATGCGTGGAAATGTGTTAAATCTGAATTCTCTATGACCATTCTCATATATAATTTTCTTTTTTTGCATTATCTCAGTCCTGATGTCGCTAGTAGCTAGAACATTTTGAAAATATTCGATTTGCAGTATAAAAATCATCCTTTGATTTTGACGCTCATTCGGAAAAAAAATCTTCCAATTCTCTAGATTATTTATTCATTTTGAAGTTATCCCAGTATTTAGTAGGGTACAATATAAATAAGTATTATTCGGGGTTTGTTCGTTGATGTATTCTCCTATAGATAAGATTTAGTTTGTCTATTTACTGGGACTCCATTTTTTGTAAACATCATATGATTAATCTTGACACAAAAACATAGAATATACATCATCCACTCCTACCTTGAACGTATACGTACTGAAGGAAAGTGAATATTATGTTTGTCGTCTGCATGTGTTTGTATGTTGAACAAACTGCCTTCGTATCAATACAGAAATTCAGTTTCATGATCTATCTATACTGTCTAAATAATGATTTAAGAAACCATTATTATTATTAATATTATTATTATCAGTAGTATTAGTATTAGTAGTAGTAGTTGTAGTAGTAGTAGTAGTAAAACACAGAAATAATCTTTTTGTAGCATAGAAAACTTCTCTTAGGACAAAACACAATCATTATATTTCGATCCCTAATCTATGTTACGGAAAGTAAGGGTTTAAGTGACCATTATTATTATTATTATTATTATTATTATTATTATTATTATTATTATTATTATTATTATTATTATTATTATTATTATTATTATTAGTAGTAGTAGTAGTAGTAGTAGTAGTAGTAGTAGTAGTAGTAGTCGTAGTAGTAGTAGTGAAAAACAGAAATAATATATTTTTGTATCGAAGGAAACTTCTCTAGGACAAAGCACAATACTCATCTATCGCTCTTTACATATCCCTAAAGTAGATAATGATCTTGTCGAGTTTGTGTTCAACTTTAGGCACAATGCATTATTTGTCTCTTTTTCATATATTTAATACGATATTCATCAGCTTGCCAAAGGGATTTAGGTATGGTGGTTTAATATGCAAGGTATTTACTTGAATTTTGTGGAATATTTTAAAATCTATTATACTGTTATATGTTTTAACTATACTTATCATGTCATTCCAAATGAAGTAAATCATTGTGATATATAAAAGCTGTCGTCACAATGTGAAGCATAGAAATAATTGCTAGAGAAATATTATTGAAGGCTGTCAGAGAAAGGGATATCTTAAATCTTCTTCAGATACCTGGATAGACAGATAAACGTGTTAGTAAAAATATTTTTTTTTATGTTCCACACAATGTCTTTTATAGCCAATATTCCCGTTGTTTTAATATTACGCTGTGACAAAATTTTTGGGCAATAAGAATAATGATTGTGAGCGATGAACATTCATGACGAGTTTCACGATCAACTTTGTCATTGGATGAAGGATGAGTTCATGTGATGTTTTAATTCTTTTGGCTGACAATAGAGTTAAGAATGAAATTATATATGATTTTATTTTCTAAGTCGTTGTTGGGGGAGGTGGGTAAAATCTAACGGGACGGTAGTTGCAAATGGTTCTTTTATCTGTTCTTACTGTACTATACACAATCGTTGCTCGGCATCCCTTGTACAATTCGAAAGACCATTATCCCACCTTCTCCCAAGAATTCATTGTTTGATTTATAAACTACATAAATAGTGGCAACCGTTGTTAATAGTGGAACTACTAGCAAATATTAAGAGACTACATGACTGATGGAAAACTATTTTGGACACTTAAATGTGTGTGTGTGTGTGTGTGTGTGTGTTGAATAAAAATATATGAATTCAATAAATAAATAAATAAATAAATAAATAAATAAATAAATAAATAAATAAATAAATAAATAAATAAATAAATATTTTTTAAAAACCACAAATAATATACCGGGATTAATCTATTTAAACATGAATTTAGATAATGTTTCAAATAATATTTGGAACCAGTGAAATAAAACGGAATGATTACATCTTCATTTTTAATTATTATTATTATCATTGTTATTATTATTATTATTATTATTATTATTATTATTATTATTATTATTATTATTATTATTATTATTATTATTATTATTATTATTATTATTATTATTATTATTATTATTATTATTGTTATTAGTGTTCTTTGCTCAGGTGTCCAAGTGGTTAGAGCGTCCGCCTTGGATGCGGGAGGTTGTGGGTTCGATCCCCGGTCGAGTCATACCAAAGTCTTACAAAAATGGTACTAACATATGCCTCGCTTGACGCTAAGCATTAAGATGTTAGTGTTAGAACTATTCGGCCTTGCTAGTATCAGGATAATGTGACTTGGTGGACATCATGCTACATGTCTGCGGCCTGATGCCCCAGTGCTAGATATCACTATAAACTACCATACTGCAGACATCATAGAGCAATGACTGTATTTTTTTAAAGCTACGTTAAAAATCATAATCAAATCACATTATTATTATTATTATTATTATTATTATTATTATTATTATTATTATTATTATTATTATTATTATTATTATTATTATTATTATTATCATAAGTTACTGCATATGCGTTTCTTATTATTCCGATAATGATCAGTTGGATTTTGTTGTGTTTCGTAAATTAGATTGCAGATGAAAGAAAATTGTAGACAATGCAGATGATGTGTGTTGCCCACGAAACGCAACGGCTCCCATAAGGATCAGCAGTTAAAAAAAAACTTGGAATCTTATACATAGTCTGGTCCCTGCTTAGTATGCTCCCTGCGATGCACTCCGCTATACTATATAGTATAGCGAAGTGCATCGCAAGGAGCATACTAAGCAGGGGAATAGTATAGCGGAGTGCATCGCAGGGAGCATACTAAGCAGGGACCAGACTATCTTATACAGGTCTCGCGATACGCTCGAGATGGAGGAATGGGAACCGATCTAGCAATCGGTAAAATAAAAGAGTGTATACATAGGTTTTGCAAGGCATGACTGTTTGATAATAAAATTTAGATTTTATAGTAAAAATAATCTATGCTAGGTAGGGTCCTTTAATTCGCTTGTTTTGATTCGTTATAAACGAATTAATATGATAATTCTCTGGAATTTTGCTGCAAAGATTTGCATGTGAATATTTAGCACACTGGCCTGCTTATGACATCTCACTGTGAAAAGGATCAACGATTATGTACTGATCTTTTCAAATGAGTTATGTGCAAAAACTACATGTCCAGGTAATAAAGATTATATATCATTGTGTCAACATAAGTGTGTAATACTACTATACAGGTTAGAGATTATAATTCGTCCTCTACGGAGTATCGAACCAAGGTCCGCAAGTAAATGGCACCCATCGCCTGCCTGCACACACCAGGCCATATCCCTCCCGTCACGAGTAAGCATGCATCACTTAAAATGATGGCACTGAATCGATGTTATAAGAACCAGTGTGTAGCAGATATCGCTAGAAGACCTAGTTATTAATTCTCATATATGTGCAAATTCGTTCCATATTCATATTAAAGAAATCATGGTATATATGATTTTTATTACAAATAATTATACATATATAACAAACAGAACAGAAAGTGCTATGTTCTATAAAATCCTGGGATAACACTTTCTGTTCTGTTTGTTATTTATTTATAATACTCATATAGATACCTATTCATATATAGATACATATAGATACACACACACATACACACACATACATACATACATACATACATACATACATACATACATATATATATATATATATATATATATATATATATATATATATATATATATATATATATATATATATATATATATATTAATGTATTCATGTGACAAAAACTTTATAAGTTTCATTAGCGGAATACGCATGTGAGTCGAACATAACACAAGTTTTGTTTCGCAAGTTCAGTTGAATCATTAAAATAATTATAAGCGACAGCTCTGTTGATGTTCATACATATAATTGTTCCAAAGCTGATAGGTATATCTTTTCAGAAATACGTTTTTATTCTGACATAAATACTGGTCTAAATAATATAAGTTTAGATGTCAAACACGCAAGGCGCAAAATCTCCCCCCGAAGGAAATGGCAGTATTTCAGTGCATATTTTATGTCGAATATCTTTCTCCATATGATGGTGTACTACAGATGTGTCTGTATGTACATTGATGGGGTAGACTGGTTAGCCGCTGCACATCTGAGTGCATTAATAGAAATGAGAAAAAGTGAACCAGTTTATAATGAAATGGAGAACCAAGGTGCATGGTTGCTAGATTTATCCATCATATTTAGGTTTCATGGTGTTGAAGGCTGCTGACTGGTAATCTAACTTACCAAATAGTTAGTAACATAGGGTATGGGGATAAAATTCCATGTCACACTATTACGTGGAAAAGAAAATTTACAATAACCCATTTTAAGTGTGATCTGTATAAAGACGACAGTGAAAATATCACATAAGTCATATGAATAAATAAATGTAATATGGACTGAATCGTGAATTGTTAATTTATAGAAGATCCAACCTTCTTTGTTCCCAACACGTGACCTAGCTTAGACAACATGCAGATACACTAGAAGGTGCCCAATAATTGATATAAGAGTAAAATACAGAATGGGACACCGCATCTTGTTCAGTTTCTGTACATGTACTTGAAACTTCGCTGCAAAGATTTACATGTGAATACTTATATCACGAACCTGAATCTGGCACATGAATAAAAAAGAATAAGTGAGTAGGTATTATTGTCTAGAATGTGTGATGTGCAAAAATTACATTTGGAGTTAATAAAGATATTATTCCATTGGCTTGTGTCAACGGAATTATTCCTCTGTGCATGTACCATGTATATCAACATGGCTTAAAAATAAATTACTGCAAACAATACATTTGGAATTTAAAAAAACAAAACACTTTATTTATGATGTTTTTGTTTGTGTAGATGATGTTGTAATGTTGTACGAATCAAAGAGACAAAGCCTGGTTTTCAGAAAAGTGGTCACAGCTTGAAATGCGTGGCACACATAAAGTAAAGATATGATCTTATTTTTTATCAATTATACATGAAACTGAAAAAAACGGGATAAAGTTTGCCTCTCTACTGGGACTCGGATCTTTTTTTATTGTTGTTGTTGTTGTTGTTGTTGTTGGGTTTAACGCCATTTTTTAGCACACGATAGGCTATTCATAGCGGCCAGTATTAATGGTGGAGGAAGAAACCGGGAAATCACCGGAAAGAACCACCGACCCAGGAGAAGCTAATGACAAGCTTTCTCACATATCCACATTTGCCGAATCCTAGACTCGAACCCACGCAGACAGAGGTGAGATGGCAGTGATCCGTAACGGTCAGCGCTTTAGACCACTCGGCCACTCGGGGCCTCGGGATCTTTTTTAACCATCATATGATGAATCTTGACAAAATTAAAAACAAAATATAAATCTTCCACTCCTACCATCAGCATATAGGTACTGAACAGATAAGTTCAACTTTCTTTTTGTTTGTCTGCATGCATTTGTTTCTTAAACAAACTGCCTACATATCAATATATAAATCTACAAAAAGTGTCGAGATCTATTTTAGACTGTCGAAAAATATTTTAAGCTTTTGATCTTTATTATCATTATTATTATGATTATTATAAGACGTAGTAGTGATGTGATGTGTGATGTGCTTATGATTTTTAACGTAGCTTTATGGCTTTAGTGGGGTAATAAATAGAGATGTCTAGCACTGGGATATCATGCTGCAGACATGTAGCATGATGTCCCGCTCAGTCACATTATCCTGACACCAGGCCGACCAGTCCTAACTCTGAGTAACGAGATGTACGCCACTGGTCTAGTGGCTATAGCGTCCCTCTCGGATGCGGAAGGTCGTGGGTTTGATTTCCGGTCGAATCACACCAAAGACCTACAAAAATGGTACTAGCAGCTGCCTCGTTTGGCTCTCAGCCTTAAGAGGTTATGTTAATGTTAAGAATGGCCAGCCTGGTGTCAGGATAATGTGACTTAAATGGGCCATCATGCTATGTGTCCACAGCATGCTGCCACAGTGCTAGACATCACTATAAATTTCGAACTGAAGATATCGTATCGATATGACTTAAGAATTGTTAAAGCTACGTTAAGAATCCAAATCACACACACACACACACATCTGCCTCAATCAAGATACTCGCAAAATTCATTTTCTTGTAGGCAAATTTGTGGTTTCACCGAAATGTTTTGTAAGGTTAATAAACTTTCCACGTCCTTTTACAAGTTCATCTAACGATGCCGCCATAAACTTAAGACTATCAATAAATCTCAACTTACTGAGTGTCACTGACAAACTTTAACGTATTGTTCGGTATACATTTGATTTTATCATTTTTATTTATTTTCAGACTGTTAATTATATCTCTGTTGCTGAACGCTACGACGATTATGTGAGAATCGAATCCACGAAAATTATGTTTGCCAACAGGAACAAAATCTGTTGCCGTGTAGACTGCATTTATCATGAGCTAGACCGCCATACTTGTAATAGTAATCCTTCACTTCGATCTTGAGTGGTAATCGCCTGCTCATAAATATGACATTTTTGCTAAAGCAAATTCTGTTTCTTTTTTTGAGTAAGCAGTTTCATTTTCATTGTTGTACCGAACAACATCATGATGGCATCAACCTCGTTGATAAGATTTTTCAGTAGCCAGTAAACAGGATTGGAATCACTATAAAGTGCAACAGCTTTTGTTAGAAGTTTATCAAGAGAGCATATATATGGGGCCCCACATGGGACATGTCCTTTTACCTTTTACTTTTATTGTCTAGGATTTATCAGGGTTATTTTTGCTTTTTGCACTGGAAGAAGAGTAGACTCGAAATCATAGTAGATTATAAAAGGAACTTTCATCTTGTGTATGTAATTCGTGAACTGTTTTCATCTTTACCAAGCATTAATATTTGTTGTACGTTAGAACAATACTCGCGATGACGATCTAATGACGATGTAATACCTGTTGTGACTTAAATCCGCTTAAACATCTGATTCAAAACTATTTTTTTGTTATGCTTGTTATACTGCCCCCTGACTAATCCGTTAAAGTTTTTATTCCACACAGTGGTTTTATGCAACAGCAAGATTATTACTGTTTGTTTTAGATTTCTCAAAATAGGACGTGGCTTGATAGCTGTCATATCTTGCATAAATTTTCTGTGTGTCATCGACTCCAAACACATTCCTAAC